TTTTATCTATTATCAAATGTAAAAAAAAATTCACTATTCATATTCACTGGTAAAAAGGTGAAAATATAGTTTTTAAGTGGAATGCACATTATTTACTTAAAAATATTATTCAGCTATTTGGTACCATTATCGGTCCATTATGTTATGAGTATTTATAATAGGCATATTTATGCCAAAAAATAAATGCGACCCACACATTTTAATATAACGATCAACGTTATTATAAAATACTATAGTGCGAGACTAATAGACTGTATAATATTGTGGGTGACAGTAATATTGGTATACTTATTTGAAATCAATATGCCGGTATAATACTATTATAGATTTTATTTTATTAGAATAAATTCAATTTTAGAATTTAGATTTTAAGCGGAGTAATGAATTTATTGTTTTAAAAATTAAAAATTATTACTAGTTTATTTTTGTATACCTATAATCTATACTTTATATAAAGGTAAGACTTTTAGTGAAAAAAAATGCTTCATTTTCAACTTAAATATCTTTTGTGAAAGTTAATTAGTTAGGTTTTGGGGGATAAAAATTGAAAAATTCCAGTATTTATTCAAAATTATCGGTATAGCCATAAAATGCGGGCAAATGGATAACGTTTTGCTGTATAGTAGATGACTCTTTGTAGTGGATGGTGTTATAAATTTGAGCCTCCTATCCTCCTCCCCTTGGTTACGCCACTGCGCACTGCGTAATGACTTACTCAATGACGAGATACACTTGACACCTATTTTATAGCATAGCGATTACTTACTTTTACTCTTCCTAACATCATAATTCTATTGTGAAACAAGGAATAGTTTTTTTGTTTTTGGGTATTATATTTTATTGTCGATTAGGAGACATGTGTCGTTTTGGCCCAATATATATAAAATTTTGTTTTTGCTCTGTATCAGTTTCTTCTGTAACTAATAATTTTATCAGTATCTACCAATACCTACTTTAAAATAATGAATTAACATGATTTGGGCATTACATTAAATGGAAGGATTTGAATGCCTACTTCACAGTAATTGTTAATAAATTAACAGAAAAACCTATATGTGTAATGTGTATTATTTTTATATGATCATTTTTTACCTTTTTAACGCTAGACGATATTCAGTATCGTAATTGTTTTAAATAATATCTTGGTCGAAACTATAAGTTTTGGGACATATGATTTAACATTTTACTCATGTTTGAGACCAAATGAAAAACGACTTGAAAACCCTGATCTTTCGTTGCCGTAACAGTCAAATTCTGTTCAAGAGTTCTTTTTGGGAGCTTGTGAATAAATTAGATGCAAATTTATAATAATGTATTTGAAACCTGACCTTGTACTTGTCGTTGACAGTGGAAGTGATCTATGGTACTGATTCATATGTTGTAGCATACGTCTTGCCATCGAATCGACGGATTACAAATTATGGGTCTGAACGAATTCTTTGTATCTATGTTCTTGTGTTCGCGAGGGGGAGGTTTGATGATTTGGAAATGTGAATTAGACGATGCATATATGTGTAAGTCTCACTCAATCGGTGGTACGTGACGGCTGTGGTTAAATYGTGTTGGCTAACAACACGCTTATGCGACAGAAATGCTTTTGATATTGAGAATTGAATCGGTGTGAACCGTAAACTATGTAGGTTAAACTTCAAATACAAACGCAAAAAGTTTTCAAAGAGAAGCCATATTTATTAAAACGTCAAACGAATGACCGTCCTTCGCGTTACTAATGTGTAGAATTGACTACGACGGGACGTCTACTTTTTCCTCCAAAGCCCTCTATCAATTTTCCATTGACATTTTCTGAATACATGTTTAGTATAACTTAAAAGTATTATCCGAGTTATAATTTATATTGTAGGTATGTAGGCAGGTAACTTACTTATTACTCGAAGAGAAAATAATTTATCACCGCATATTGTTGTTGATGTGTTTGAACGCGAAACATTATACATCCGATGCTAACATTAAATTCGATAACTTATACGACTAAGTTTCGTCGAATGAATGAAACACACTATATGGCTTACAATTTTTAATAGTCATTACCTACCATTGAATATAGTTTTTGACTATATGTATTCAAATAAAGTTTTGAAAAAACCATAAGTTTGGGTTAGCCTTTTCTTTGAGCACCTAACGATGTTGGGGTTGAATAAATTATATTAGAGTAATATCGGTATACTTTTTTAAATTTAAACCATATTTCTTATACCAATAATATGCGAAATTCTGATGACATCAGTATATTATAATATAGGATTATGTCTGCAAGAAAAAGTGTTCTGACATTTACTACTTAAACAGTTAGCATATAAGATTTTATATTATAAACCAGTCACTTGCATACGTATAGTACATAATATATTAGAGTTGTATATTATGGAAGCCAAGCTAATGAAAAATGAAATTAAAATATACATTGCAATTTTTATCAAACTAACTAAAAAGATATTATTGGTAACACAAATTAAATTATAATATTGCTGTAAGCTTTTAAATTGTTAATAAAATAATACATTGGATAATTATAATTATAAGGATGAAATATTACAATAATTCTTTTTTGTATTATTTATATTATTTAGTTATTATATTTGAAGTTTAATACAATTGCTCATTTAGAATGCTAGAGAAAATTAACAAAATGATTAACCTAATCCATTTCATACCCAAATAAAAGTTGGGTTATAAAATGATTACCAATTATATTCAGTTTCTTCTTTTGTCTAGTGAAACGGACCAATATAGATTTTTTTTCGTTCACTTATTTTCTTTTTTAGCCCATCGGTAATTAAACTAAATTCCTCAGATTCAAAATTATTATGACTTGGAATTACATATTTTTTTATAGACGACTGTTAATAGCTACATATTTTAGAAATTTTGTGAAATTTTAAAATAAACATCGAGTTTTTAAAAAATTGTCAAATTTTCTACTTTTCTCAATTTGTTCATATCGAAGCTGGTTAGTGGTACACTACTTATTTTAGATTCTGAGTGGAGCGAGGAATGTATTGATTTTACCATGATGTGTGTTTTTTTCTTTTTTTTTTGTGTGTGTCTGTCATCACGTTTTGGGGCAGTAAAAATGTTCCAGTCGTTCGATCAGAAAGTGAATCTAGTTGATACTTTGTGGGGGCCAAAAGTAAAAAATTCCCAATATTTTTCATAATAATTGGGATGAACAAACTAAAAGTTAAGAAAAAAAACTGGAATTTTTACACACAATCAATTTTCGACAAAATCTATTTTGGTTTTTAATGTAACTTTAAAACAAATTACCATATATACATTAAATTTTCGCCAAATGTTTATATAAGCATATTCTATCCACCATGCAATTTTCAAAAATTTTTGACTTAGGTTAAACTATTTATAGGCATATGCAATTTTCGATCATTATTAGTTTTTTTTAAATTAATATCGATAACAATTTATTTGTTGGGTAGAAAAACTTGAAAATTTATTACAAGAGTCCTAACATATTTTGACAATAGCAGTTGAAAAATAAAAGAAATATATAGTCACTTTTTTCTTTATAAGCATTTAAAGTACAATTTTGACTAAATACGTAAATTCGCAAATTATTTTAAGCTATTAATTCATAAAAAATTTTCTTTTTAAATCTAAGATTTGAACATTTAATACAAGATTCCTTATAAGTTTGTCAATCTTTATCACAAAATAACGTCCACCAGAAATTCAAATTCAATTTTTATGAGCGTTTGAAATTTAAATTTTTACAACATTGGATTTACACTTCTCATTTAGCGATTTTCATATTTTGGTGTAACTCTAAAAAAATGACTACAGATACTTGGAAATTTATTATATATTATTATAGTGATTGGGTCAAAAATCTTCAAAATTTAATATAAGTCTTCCAACATATTGTTTCAATAGCAGATGAAAAATATTAAAATACATAGGCACAATTTTTTTTTATAAGCATTCAAAGTTTAAATTTTGAYAACATATGTAAAAATCACGAAAATTCGAAAATTATTTGAAAATAGAAATTCATAAAACATTTTTTTTTTAAATCTGAGATTTGAAAATTTTTAATAATCTATAATATATCCTAGACAGATAAACCGTCTCCGCTCAGAATTGTTTTTCGTATACAATGATAGAATATCATTGGATTCAAATTTAATTCCATCAATTACAGTAACCCACTTGTAACCTACTGTACAGCAGAGCGACATCCACTTTCCCGCTTTTTTATTTATGACGTGACTATATATGATATTATTAATTTAAAAAAAGGGCAAGATATTACACACGACAAAAGAATCCGAGTTAATACGGCTGGTCAGCCTGTATTAATACAAGTTATTTTTTTATGAAATATTTATATTGCTATTATAACCCAGTAGGACAAATTCATAGGTAAACATTATTAATTATGACAAAAACGTTGCATTTATTGTTTAATTATTAATTATTTAATTATTATGATACTATATATTTACACAACATATTATTGTTATTTAATTTTGAATAAATACCGACTTACCGTCGGATGGTGTAAAATAGGCAATATCATATTTATATAATTTTTTTTTTTTTGAAAATGTCATTGTTTCGGTGTATAAAATATAATAATAAGCTTAAATGTTTCAAATCTCCAAGAAACATATTTTTGAATTACACTTAAATTGATTCTTATCTAAACGATATCTATTTAATTTCGTCTAAATTTGAATTTAAATGTCGGTAGAAAAAATCATGCTTATATGTAGCTATCTTTAATATTTTTAAATTACTATAATAAAAACGTATGAGGAATCTTATATTACATTTTAAAAGTTTTTGAACAAATTAGTTATTTTTATCAAKATGTATGCAACCAATTTTTAAAAACATCAAAAATGTCTATTATATAAATTTATAACTTAATAGCTCAAAAAAAGTTAAATTATATTATAGGACCGAATAAACTAATATTATGACGCAAAAAATATAGAATTATAGAAAATGTTAAATATCAACACTTATTGGTTTTCAGTATAACAAGTTGTTAATCGCTTGATGAAAAATCGCTGTTGATGCGTGAATATCTCGTTGAGCTTCTGGTATTGAAAATTGAAAATGGAACAGAAATATAATACAGTTTTTATCGTATTAGTACATAATATTATACGACTTAACGACTTTGTTTTGTATTGTTTGGTAGTATAATACGCTGATCGACAGAAACTTACCGACATTTCTATGTAAGGTATATCAATGATGGTTAGTTCAGCTTCCTGACCGTTGATCATCACTCTGATTGTCCGACAAGCACAGTCTTCGTCTACAATAAAACATACAAATTATTCATCTATTAACAAATATTAACATTTAACATGAATATGTAATTGTGAGAAAACAAATGCAATATTTTTATCTTTAATAACTCATTATCAGAACATTCAGAACGTTGCAATTTATTGTGCTAGAATTAAATACCTATATTAATATTGATTTGGATATTTAACGATCTTATATTAATTAAACATTGATATGAAACCATTTTAATGAAGTAGGACAAGTAAGTATGTAAATTTTTAGATTATAGTAAGTATAATCATTATAATCAATCTTGAAAATAATTAATAATTAGACATATACGTTATACGTTATTAATTTATTATACATTCGAGTCCTAGAAGGGCCCAAAGAWAATAAATTTAAGAGGATACTTTTATTTTTAAATTTAATTTTAATAATAATTCCACGTTTAATTTGAAATTCAGGGTATTGCCTTGGTAGCGCAGTAGGCAGCATGTAAGGTTTAAATAAAAAAATTCAAATATTTTGATGTATAAATAAGTATGGACAAAATACGAGTATACTTAAAAAAATTTAAATTATTTAAGCAATTGTTATTTTTTTATTGGAGCTTTGTGAACCCTCTGAAGTAGATTGGCTATTTTTCAAAAGAAATATTGACAAGAAAATAACTAAATATTATATTATGTGTCTTATATGTATTAGAATAAAATTATTAAAAATATAAAGACCGTAATGTTATGATATTGGAGGTCAGCAGGTTGTTGTAATTCTTTTTCTTTGTTTTGCACCGTTGTGGCGCTGTTAATGAAAATATTGTTAATTAGAATGATTTTTTTTCTCAAAAATGCATATAAATTTAATTTTTAACAAGTCGTATATTATGCTATTCTAAATATAATTATATTTTATTTTAGTTTTCATTAGTTTGAATTTCGCAGCGCAGCCCGCATGACGGCCGTTGGCTGCGGCGTCCGTTAGCCACGCCTACAGTCTCCTGTGAATGGCTGCTGCGTGTGATACCGGGACGTCAACGGACACTGTACGGTAGTGCTCGTAGAAGACGGCGCCGGTGGCTGTTGTYCACGCCCGGCCATCTGTCTGCGTATAGCTTCGTGCGTTGTCGCTGTATAGGCCGCGGTCGATCTCGTGTTCTGCAACGGAACCGAGGGCGCCCGACAAGTCGGAAACAGAACACTGCACCGACGTCGTGTGTGGCTTGTAGCGGTTGCAAGTATAAGTAGCTTGTCCATCCGTCGTTCAGCTTACGTCGTTATACTTTGTATATGATATTATATGCAGCCATAATCCGCGTCGCTTTTGCTCACCCTCAGCCCTTATAACCGTTACTTGTGTAACGAACATTCAGAGTGCCGATCGACTGTTTTCCGAATGTCATGTTGTTATGTAATGTATTTTGGCCAACGGCCCCATAATACACAACATGTTATATTTGATTGATTACCATCTCGTTAAAAYAGACCGTAAAAACACCACCGGGATATTACTTTGCGTGGCGTGAAMAATTACATAATAATCCCATATATGTTAATGTAGCCCATAAATTCTATATAGAAATAACTATTGTAAATGAAACATAAAATTTGTACACACACAATAATATTTTTGAGACTAAGAGGACTATTTTTTATTACCTAATTTGTCATTGATTATTAATTATTGTATTAAATTGTAATGTTATTACTATTCCTGCAAATTTATAAAACCATATMTTATAGTGATCACCACTTCTCTGATGTGCGCTCAGAAACAACTTTTTAAAATATTTCTAAAATAGAAGCCGGTGTCTCGCAAGGTGCAGTTATTGCAGCACTCCTTTTTAACAGCGAATCAACCCACTACTCAAAACATAATGGTAGCTGACTTTGTAAACAACAGAGCACTACTTGCATGCCACTTTGACCAAGACATAGCTACCTCTTTTATGCAAACCTATCTTGACTTACTAGCCTCATGGTACMCAGAATGGGGCCTGAAATTAAACCAAACGAAATCGCTCCACTCTACCTTCACACTACGCCTCAGAGACTGTCCACAATTAATATTCCTCAATAATCAACCTATACCTTACTCTCAAAACATCAAATGTTTTGAACTAATCCTAGCCCGCCGACTCTCATAGGYTCCCACATACGCTCCAAACATTTAACGCTCAATGATCGTAGCCGACAGATGCGACACATATTGACCTTTAAACATATCCATCTGAACAACAAGCTCCTTATGTAGGTACAAAATTCTACTTAAACTATTATGGGTCTATGGTATACAGCTCTGGGGGTCAGCAAAACCTACCAAYATCAATAGAATACAAATCTATTAATCCAAAACTCTAAGACAAATCACTAAAGCACCTTATTAAGTTTCCAATMACACACTCCATCACGACCTTTTCATACCCTTTGTTGCAGATGTGGTTAAAACACACTACACAAGTTTTTATGAACACCTCTTAAACTACAGAAACCCACTGATGCATGATATATCTTCCTTGACTATCACTGGAAATCCTCCCAAACGGCTAAA